TAGAAAAGAGTTTTGCTTTATTTGCATTGAGTAATTAAATATTTTTTTATTTAGCTAACCAATCACATGACTTATTTCAGCATCCACCGGTGCTGAAATATAGATGTGATATTGAGATCTGTTAATGCTATAATTTCACATACAGTATATGTATTCAAATATCATATCTAGAAGGATTAAAATACAAAATTTTGCCAATATAAGCACTTTATTAGCATTTTATTCCGTTATCATTAACCAGTATATATGTACGAATAAAATTTTTTAGAATTAATTCATAATCATAGTTTTGATTAGGGTTGTAAAATTACCCTATTCGTAACTCTGGTAAATATAGTATAATTTTGGCAGACTTTATTCGTTCGTAACTCTGGTAAATTAATTTTGTTAGAATGAATTCTAATTATGGCAAGCATAATTTTGGTAGAATTGATTCGTAACTCTGGTATCCAGAAACATATGATCGACCTTTTCATACTATAAAAGGTGTGATCGACACTGTGCAAATTTGGAAAACACAGATCCATCTGTATTCCGTTTCACAAGTTGATCAATATGTCTTACAATCTAAAAAGTCTATCTTTCGAGTCACTTGAGCCAGCACTTATTTTTTACCATAGGATTGAGTTAAAACTGTGGACTGGTGATGAAGAAAAGGAAGCTAACAAATTTTATGATGCAATCGAGTATGCTTTGCAAGATGAATTACTTGAAAACTAAAGAAAAGAAAACTATTACTTCTTAAAAAAACTCCTCCTGAAATCGTAAGCATGTTTTTATAAATTTCTGAGTTATTTTCACATAAATGATGAGTTAGAGATCTTAAACAACCACAGTCCAGTAAGAATGTATTTTAATCGCAAGTACTTAACTACAACAACCGCGATTCAGTAGGGAAATCTAGATTTTTTAAATCTTCCTAAAGTGGGGTCGTCCTTGTTGTAGTGCTTATTTACATTTCCGAAGTGGGGCTGTCCTTGTTCCCAAAAAATCAATACTCCCAGGAGTAAAAAGTGCATGCAAATTTATCTGATTTGTTTAGTTCGATTGCTAAGAAAAATTTATTTAAATTGTATCTAATAATTTATTATTATTATTTTTTTTTAGATTAAAAGTGTAGTTTCCACGGTGAATTCATTGCATGTAAATAAGATGCTTGTTACTTCTTCCCAAAAAAAAGAAAAAATACAAGATATTACTACAAATATTTTAAACTTAAAGCGGAGTGTGGAAAGTATTTAACTTAAGATTATTATTTTTTAATGAGATTTTGAATAATGTATGTGGCTATAAATTAGAATCGAATTCTTTGTGGAAGATGTTCTGATGAAGAACGAGATGCTTATCAAGACATTTATAATGCCTTAGACGAATTAGCTCTAAAGTATGATGATAACGATTATGATTTGTTAAGCATGGAAGTCATAGATATTACCTCCAAGTGGGCAAGTGAATTCAAAAATACCACGATTAATTTTGCTAAAGTAAGTAAATTTTTGGTTAATATATTAGATGTGAAAACTAACTACGTCAATTATAATAGGGAGCATTTTCAAAGAAATTGGAATTGGAAGAAGATGTGGTAGAAGAATGTAAGAGAGTTATTCAAGAATCTCAAAACAACAATACCATTCTTAAATGGATTATCTCTGAAAGTTCCGTAGCCTCCTTGGGTCAATGGGTAGAAAATTTAGAGTCGCGAAAGAAATGTTCTCGTTGCATTGTCACGTGTTTGTATGTATTATTATCAAAATTTTCTATACAAGGACAAAATAATTTAAATATGATTCTTTTTTAGAAATAATATTTGGAAATTGAGTAAGGATTGGAGTAAAAATCAATCCGAGAGAAACTTTCTGACTCAAGTTATAGAACCGCTTCTTTCTGTAGCATTGAATGATCTTCCAGTGGATGTTACATATGTATTAAAGTAAATTTAATTATTATACCAGTATGTTATGAAGAAATTCATTTACGTATTAACATTTATGTTCTTTAGAGGAGAACTGCAAAGTCGAGCCAATCAAAATTATAAATCAACGAATACAAAAGCTTCAGCGATTGGTGACCAACCTGACATAATGTTTACGGTTAAAATTAGTGAGAAAGCCCTAGAGTTACTTTACCTTGAAAGTAGGCGATGCATAACTACTGAAAAAAAGGTTTTATCAGACCATACTAAATTGATTTGCTTATGTAAGGGCGGATACAATTTTGTGACCACCCAAAAACGATTGAAAGACAACAAAGACATTTATTCTTTTCTTACAATTCTGGGTATTAATATAACTGGTAAGCTAAGTATTATTGTTTTCTTTTCCAATTAACATTAACCTTCTTTTTTGTTTAGGAAAGCATATGAAAATATACGGACTTCAAAGAAAGAATAATATTTATTTTTACTTCCCAATCGTTGAAGCGGACATTCCTGTAAAACAAACTGTTTGGGAAAATGTACATGAATTGGTATATGCATTGTTATTAGTGCGGGTATTATTCCTCAAACTATTTTGCGCATTTATTAATATGCGATTTGCCATTAAAATTAATCTAATATTAAATATTATTTCAGAATATAGTTACTGTTGTAACTCATAATTTGAAGGCAGCTAAAAAGACAAAAAGACAAAGATAAAAAATTAAAATGAATAATCTTAATGTCGAAGCTTTATATAGCAAATTTAGGAATAGATGTGAGATTTAAGCATTGTTATTCTGCTTTAAAAAAGAAAGCAAGTATCGACATGATCCTTTAAATAAATTTCCTTATTCAAAATGGTCATAAAATTTTTCTACTCTTCGACAGCAACTGGTGAATAAACTGGGTTCAAATAAACATAGTAGGCTTTCATTATAATTGGCTAATAGGACTAAAGTGAAAAAAATAGATATCAAATTAAGTAACATAAAAAGAAAAATATACACAATCACATACACCACTTTACAAAATTATACTCGCAAAAGAATTCATGGACATTCATTGAACATAACACATATTTTGTGTAACTGATTATTTCACCACTTTTTCACTAATTTCACCAGCATCTATAGATCTGAGGTCTAAGGATGAGATGACATCAGCTCTTTGCGAAAATAACTCCCTTAATTTTTTGGATCTTTTATCTAATAAACTTGGTCCATAAACTTATTTGATTGAAATTCAAGCATTATTTTAACTAATTAATAAAATAAATTTACCTCCTCGTAATATTAAAAAAAAATAAAATAAATTTACAAACTTATTACGATTAATTAACTTGTTTACTAATTTCTCTACTCCTTTAGCTAATATTTTTGCGCATTTAGTTTATTTACATATCAAGCTTTCAACTGTATATTTATCACTATAAAATTTGTTATATAAAAAAAGAAGACAATTTTCTTAAACAAATGCCCACATTCGATCGATGTGGTCCTATGGGACCGCAATATCATGTGATCTTATATGTAATGTATATAACGCATCCTAATATTACCCATCTAGAATTAAGTTTTTATTACCAAAGTCAATAGAAGTAGAGTTTTTACTAAGTACAGCTGCTAAATTTATCCAGAGAAATCAAAATTGAGTTTTTACAGAGTATTGGTGCTTTTCCGTTTTCAGAACCAATTCTATTAGCATTAAATAGGTTTATTAAAATAATTTTTTAGTTATCATAAACATCTTTAAGTCTTTTCGCCAAATATTAATCTAGGGAATAAAAAACTTTATATGATAATTAAGCACAAGAAATCTTTTTCTGAAAAGAATATTAAACACGTGAGTATTTCAGTTGATACCACTGAGTAGATTTATTTATAAAATATTGATGTAGACAGAATAGATATAACATCCTAGGGTCTAGGTTATATTGGAGCGATTCAATATTGACATTGTTATATCTGAATGTTAGTTTTATTAAATAAATAAAGCTCACCTATTTTATTTTTTTAGTTTCTCGTACTTTCCACCCTCAAAGCCAAGTTGAATAAGGCTATAAACATTAAGTGGCTAGTTTTATTATTAAAAATCTAAAATAAAAAATAGTTTATATACTTGGCTTGAAAAGAAAAGAGAACGAGAAGCGATCAGTTATTGTCTTGTCCACGTGATCCACGTGATGGTCGATCATACTGTAATTGGAACCGAAAATATGAAAATATTAACTTTTAGCTGCCACTGAAAAAATAGCCTTTTGAACAAAAACTTATTTCCGTTTAATGCAATCTCATTGATAAAAAGAGTGAATATGTATGGTGCACTTATATTACTTTTACTGTGTAATAAATGACTTTAACTATTCACATTGTTAACAAATAATTAAAGTGATTTATTTATGTAAGAAAAATAATATAAACTATTTTTTTTGAAAATATCTTTTATTTGTGTTTACTTAAATAAATTCGATCAAAAATATATCATCGATAGTAATGAAAAAAACCCAATTTAAATGCTTTTTTAAAAAAATACATTTGTCAATAAATGTTCATGAAAAAATAATTTCTTTCAATCTTCGATTATGTACGGATTGTGTATACTGGAGCCTTTTCCCTTCAAATGATATCTTGAAGTTTTTATGCATATGGGAGTCATCTCAATAGAATGCGCGAATGCAACATCGTAGCTCATGTTCTTTAAATGGGTTAAAAAGTAAACAAACAGATTGGCTTTTACGACCTTAAAGAACCATTGTCGCTCGCATTCGCAGATGTTCTTGAATGCACTATTAAAAATTTTCCTGACAGTTTCTGCGATCATTTTACGTGTTTCATCGTTGAAAATCATATTTTCCTGAAAATATTTTAATTGATCAATATAATTTTCATCATTTATCTTCCTGAATGTAACATTGAAAATTTTTTTGGATTAGCACTCGCGTTTACAGCTTTATTCAGTTATTTAAACATTAACTTGTCGATTTCCTCCTGTGTTAACTTGATCTGATATTTTCTGATATCAATCATCCTCTTTTGGACCTTGATATTCTTTACAACAAGGTGTTGCTTGCAATAAAAGTTTAGAGATTTTTTATTGTAAATGGTAACAACGCTGTCCTTTTCACAAACGTTCTGTTTTGAAATTCTGAAACAGAAAACGAACTGGTTGTAAGTCATTTAGAGTTCTATGTGTAAAACCATTGCAATTACCCTAATGAAAATTTATAACGAAGTTCTACACATACTTTCATTGCAGGATTTTTTTTTTCGTCATATCAGCTAATTATTTGTAACATAAAGGAGATGAGGCTGCAGTCAAGCGCATATTAGAAATTGAGATGAGGCTGCAGTCAAGCATATTGGAAATTTAGATGAGGCTGCAGCCAAAAGTACATTGGAAATTGAGATAAGGTTGTAGCCAAGAATATGTTGGAAATAAAATTAATATGTAATTCTGGCTGCATAATTATCGACATAAGTATTTGAAATTATGTGCTATTTCAACATAAATGTGAAGTTATACGATAGACATAACAAGAAATATGGAAGATAAACCACAATAAACAAGCAATTAGAAGATATGATACTGTTCATGGTTTAAAGAATATTATATGAAATAATTCAATATTTGGTTAGGCATGTTCGAATTTCTTGGCATTGTTTATCATTTATAAATATAAATAAACATGCATTATTTTGAAGGCTGGGCAAAAATTTTTCAAATATTAAATATATCATCTGAAATTTCCATTTTAAATTTTATACTTTAAAAAGAATTATAGTTCGTTCAATTTAATATACTTACGTGCTTAAAATGAGCTCCGAAGTGTCAGTCGTAGTTAATGATCCGCAAAAAGAAGACCCGCATAACGGAAACGAAATAAGTCATTATGTTTTTTCACCAAATATAAAATATGTTGTGACCTGGAGTGAAGATGATAAATCAATTATTAGATGGACCATCACAGAAGAACTCAAACTTGAATTTGACGATTCGATAAACACTGAAGAACTTAAAAAAATTGGGTTTAATCCTGACCCTGATAAACCTGAATATATCAAAATAGAATGATTAATAGGAGTCTCAAATTATAAACAAATCATACTAAAACTATTTAAAAACGATCCTTATGATTTTGGTTAGTTACTACAAAATTAAATATCTATCAATGATGTTTTAAGTTATGAATTATATTAACAAAATTTATTTTAACAGAAATTATTGACATTTCAACTAAATCAAGACAAGTATTAAATGCGCAAGGATTAAAAGGATATATAGAAGGAATTACCTTTCTTGAAAATGGAAATCTGGTAATCGTAAAAGGGGACCCCGTTTATCGGGGTTATATCTTTTCAAAGTCGAAATCTAATGGCAAACAACAATGGACATGCAAGGATATCATTAAACTTAATAAAAATTTCTCACAATCTTTTATTTTCAAAAATGGAAAATTGTTATTGCTTTTTAAAATACCCTTTGTAATTCTGCAATGGAACTTAAAAACTCGGGAGCTTGAAATGGAATATATATTAAATTGGAATATATCACCTTGGAATTTAAAAATAAAAATGAACAGCGATAATACATTGCTAGCAGTAGCTGGTCATAATAAAGATCGTGAAACATTAATTTATGTTTATTCAACAGAATCTGGAGCATTGATAGCAAATAGTGGGTATTTTATAAAGTAATCTATAAAATATATACTGTATAAATAGATATTATTAATTTTATTTAACGAATTTTTTTTAACGATTAAGGAGGAGTTGCACAATTTTTGTTTTATTGGATCAAGAGAAGAAGAACAACTGTTTTTTTCTGGCCCACAAATTACTACAAAGAGTTATAACTCTTATATGCTAAATCCTTACACACTTAAGCCTCCAGAAAGTTTTGCTTTACAACATATTTATTCTCCAACATACAAATATTATGAAGATTATCAAATTAATATTATCTCTGATTTTATTATAAAACTTAAAAATAATAAATTATCGATTCAAAGATTATCACATAACGAAAATTGGAAAAATTGGTTACAAAGCAAAGTATACAAAGAGCATCATGTGTGTGGTACTTTTTTCAACGTAAAAGAAATTAAGCAATTTGTACAGGATACTTTAGAAAAGTGTAATTCAAATCAAGATTTAACTCAAATTTATTCTGATGAACCTAAAGAACTATCTTATGGTGGGTTTGATAGGTCATATACCTGGACTATAAATACGATCTCTATATCAGAATGGGACAGAACAACAATAAAAGTAAATATTGATGAGAAGTCAACTATTGAAACGTATGCTTGGGCACTTGCTGACGACAATAATGGTTATATATTAGAATATAAAGTACTCGAAAATGGTGATATTATATTAGTTTTCCATGATAGTATACGAATTTATACAGTAAATTTCGAAGAAAAAGCAATTAATTTAATTTATTTTTGGCATTTAAAAGAAGAAACAATTAATTTAATTTATTACTTGAGCGATAAATATGTGAAAAAAACAAGAACTGCTCAGCAATCAGTGAAGAGACTTCTTACTTCCTTTAGTTTTCTTATTGAAAATATTGATAAGTCGAATTTTAAATTTTTATCACCACCAACTTTCTACACTAATAATTTTATGAACAATGAATTAATAATAAAATTATATGGAAAAGATATGTTTAATCATTTCTTTCAAGAAAAAGAAATTCGTAATTTTTTGGATTTATTTCATCATTTCCACTATTATAGCTTGTCAACGTTTAAGAGTGGTGACATTCATAACTTTAAATTGTTTATAAGTTCAGTTTCTTCTACACTAGTTCAATTAGAAGAATATAACAAAAACAAAAAATTTATTGAAAAATTTTTATCAATATTTAATTTACTAGTTTCAGATAATTATGAACATGCTATAAATAATGATTCTCATGTATTTCATCTTCAACATTGTGGACTTTATGAGTATTCGTCTTTATCTATTACTTCTTTATTTGATCGCTTGATTTTTGAGATAGAAGAAAAATATCCTAAAATTTATAAAATTTTAGCATTCCCTTATTTGGTTTACTTATATTATTTTCCAAATTATTCTAAATATCCTCAAATAAACGTAATCTTAATGTTTCCTTTATTAAATTTTGCTACATACCCCCAAAAAATTCATATCTTGAATTATTCTTTGAATTATTCTATATGCAAGATAATGCATTTACTTCACTTGATGCACCTCATTATTATAAATGGTGGAATATTAAAGCTCTTATTAATTTCAAGTGGCGCACCTATGGAAATATTATTATTTTATAATTTGGGCAATATATTTCATTTTTATGTGCTGTTTTTTAACTGTTTCAACAATTTCTGAAAGTAAAATTTCTTGGAATAATCAATTGATTCTTTTGGAAGCAACTATCTTTTTTGGTTTTATTCATTTAATTTTTGAAGCTCGCCAATTTATTCATAAACCAATATATTATATTACTAGTCCTTGGAATTGGTTTGGTATATATTTAACTTTTGATTCTTTATATACATCTATATTATATAATTATTAAAATACACCAATCTTGTTTCAGAAATATTATTGTGAAAATAGCTTTTAACAAGTATGCTTAATTAATCTTAGAAAGCTTCGTATATAGAATTCCAACTTAAATCTATATTGAAACGCTATAACACACGAATAAGTTAACCACTCGGAAATGCTTTAAGAATATTTTGTTCAAAAGTGCCCTTGTTTCAAGTATATGAATAAGTTAACCACTCGGAAATGCTCAAAAATATTTTGTTCAAAAGTGTCCTTGTTTTAAAAATAATTTAACCGATTATGCGAAAGTCTATGTCACTTTTACAGTAAATAAAGATATTAAACAAAGAAATGGAGCTAAAGTATGTGAAGAGATTGGACCCAGTATATATGTAAACTAAGATATTTGTGACGCGTAATAAGACGAATTTATATGTCAGAACCCATATAATTGGATTTAATTAGAATATCAATTAATGTTACATGTTTTATTCATTACAAGTTGCCTAGCAAAAGTAACCATTTAAGATATCAATGCTTATTTTAAATAGAAATTTACTAAAAATAACTTTGTAATGATAACTGTAAAGACTTGTTTTAAACTCCTATAAACTTAAAAGATTAAATTTTTTTATCAATTTATATTTATATTACATTCATAAAAATGTTCTTAGTACATTTCTAACCATAGATAATTATCTTAGTTAGAATAATTAGAATCTTCCACGTATATTAGTTAGAAAAGAGAACTGGTATTTTAAATATTTTTTTATTTAGCTAACCAATCACATGACTTATTTCAGCATCCACCGGTGCTGAAATATATATGTGACATTGAGATCTGTTAATGCTATAATTTCACTACAGACAGTATATGTATTTAAATATCATATATAGAAGGATGTTTCCCTCTGAAATAAAGACAGCCAGCTCACATAGAGTTCAATACTCGAAAGTGACTTTCTCTCCTAATTTTCCCTGCTTTGCTTTTCTTTGCCGCTTTGCTTTTCTTTTCTAAGTAAGTAATCTAATCAACGTAATCCAAATTAGAGCTTTGTAATGTATTATAGAGCTCTCATTTCTGGTGTTTTTCATGCCTTCTTCATTATTAGGTCTAGTATTGTGTTTTTAAATAGTATTATTGTTGGTTGATATTTGTGTGACTGCAATTACCACATGACGTCAACATATTTTTGAATTTTTGGTTAGATTGTAAAACATGCAGTCCTAATTAGGACAAAGTTGATTCTAAAATAAATTCATTCAATTTTAATTTGCGAATTTGAGAGCTAAAAAATTCCTGTGGTTGGAGTCAGCGACGCTAAAATTCTTGGCTAGATTGTGAAACATGCACTCCTAATTAGGAATGAAGTTGATTCTTAAAAGAATTCATTCAATTTTAATTTACGAATATTATAAATAATAAGAATACTATGCGCCCTACAAAAGAACGTAACACGAGTAGATCTTTCGTAATCACATGATGTTTAATTGATCAAAGAATTCAAGTTTTTTATCTTAAAACAATACATAAACATAATTCTGTATCTTAATTTCGGTGATGAATAATGTAGAAGTCATTTAATTTTAATTGTCACCGAAAATAGAATTTAAATAGAATTATGAATAAAACTTAATGTGATGTATAATATATTGTACTATTACTTAAATTATACTATCCGGGCCCAATCACTTCGCGTACTTTAGCTCCATTTCTTGGTTTAATATCTTGCATAGACTTTTCGTAAAATCAATTAAATGATTCTTGAAACAAGGACAATTTTGAACAAAATATTCTTGAGCATTTCCGAGTGGTTAAATTATTTTTATACTATAACTTTTTAATATAGATTTAATTTGGAATTCTATACACAAAGATTTTCTAAGATTAATTAAGCATATATGTGAAAAGTTATTTGCACAATAAATATTGCTGAAACAAAGAAATGGTGCTTACGCGTCACTATTAAAGTCTATATACCAGTTATAGTACAAAAAATTAATCATTAGGACAAAAAGTCCTTTTGCAGTAAAATGCAAAGAATTTTGATACTAAAGATGACTCATTTTCTTTGTTTTAAGAATTTACTCATGAAGAATGAAAAAATCAATTAATGTTACATTACATCGTAAGAAAATGACGTGTATACATATCCAATGATTATAAATAGGAGCTCTGTTCGATGCTCACAGAAGAGCAACTAATAAATAATAAATAATAACATGAAAAAGCTCTTTATAATTTTCATCATTTTTTTATTTATTATTGTTTACGTACATCAACCTTTAGTAAAATACGATATATGCAGCTGTAAATGAGATGATCTTTTTATGGAAGAATTTAAAAATTTGTACAAGGAAATCGATCGTTTGTCAAGATACGAAATTGAGAAAATTGAAATAGTCAATTCAATATATGATTCATTTTCTATGAATATAGGGAAGATATCAGAAAGGCTATAATAAACGCAAACATTCACCTACTTAATAAAAATGAAAATTATTTATTTGAACACGAACCATATCCCACATTTATTATGCGTATAAGAAATCAACCCAAACCAATCGATATATTGGAATACATTTGCGACTGCTCAATCTCTTTAAGTCATGTAAAACAACTTTTGTATATTTACAAACGGAGGGCGGACATAGAAAGAGATCGAAGAAATAAGTTAAAACTATCAAAAATGATATACAATGGCACTTTAGAGCACGGACGGCGTTTACTGGAAAGATCTGTCACAAAAAATATTGTCGACCTTTTAGAATACCGGCCAAAATCTTTTATCACCGATCAATTCGTTGATAAAATCATTTATTATTTTAATTAGAGGTGTGAACAGTTAAAATAAGTTGAATTATTAAACTGATAGGTTTAAATAAACTTTATTTTGTAGTTCGCATTTCTAATTTTAATTATCATTAACTTATGAATTTAGTGACTTCACGTTCTCCAAAACATGTGACCCGACAAAGAAGTGCAGTAGCTTAAAGTAACACAAATCTTTCATAATCACATAATGTTTAATTTATCAAAGAAAACTTTGACAATTCTAAAACAATACATAAAAAATAATTCTGTATCTTAATTTCGGTGACAATAATATAGAATTCTTTTATTTTAATTGTCACTGAAAATAGAATTATTTGTCACCAAAATTAGAATTTATAAATAAAACTTAATCTAACATATAATATAAGCTTTTTTATGCATTACTAAATGTCTTATTCTACATATATACAGTATACTGTATCATTACTTAAATTATACTAACCATCAAGTTCCATTTCTTGTTTAATATTCTGTACATAATCATTTAAATGATACAGTCTTCTTTATTCATCAAAAATTAAATTCAGTAGGTTTCAATCAAAGTTTTTTAATAGGAACTAATTTCTAAGCAGATGATTTGGTCAGATTTGGCTTTGAATTTGGCCAATTATCTGCAAATTTGACTAGAGTTATAAGCAATTAGTTAAGTAGATATCCATAAAAAATAGCTTTACAAAATGCTACTTCTCTTTTAAAAATTTATAAATTATAAAACTAATCCACAAGATTTGATCTTGTCTTTAAGAACAAAACTTGTGGTTTAAATTTAAATCTAAACTGATGGAGCAGTAGCCTTTTAAATGCTGGCTATTTTATTAGAAATTTGTAAAAAAGTAAACGTATATGTTTTCTCTTTTTGACCAATCAAATTATCTTATACAGACCACGTATTATACTAAATTTATTAGCTTCGGAGCTAACCGGATAAAATTTTTATTTATTTTTAGAACATGTTCGTATTTAAGAGATAAAGAGAAAAGATCGTATTAGTAATTATTTAAGAAAATCAAGTGATTACATTAGTGATTAAATCCATTGTTAACAAAATACATACGTAATCTGAATTCGACCGTGACTTCGCGGTCTCATGGGACTGCTAAAATACGTGCCTGAGATACGCAGTATACCAGAGAGAATATAGTAAAGACATTGGCATTGAATCCACATAATATTAAAAGTAAGAAGATCCCAGTAATAAACCCGCAAGACTTAAAGTCTCCAAACTTGGTCCAAATCTAACCATGCCACGATCGAAACCTACCACTTTGGGCCTTGTTAGATATTCTTTTAGTAGTGTTGAAGTGTTGAGTTGCATATTATACTAATTGGGCCAGGTTACACATCCACAATGTACGTGATGATTGCCATTCAAATAATAATTTGTTATTTTAAAATTTCTGGTTAAGCTAGAATTTAGGATTAGAGTTATTAATGAAAATAGACAAAAAATAAGGTTTACACCTTAAATCTTTAATTGTTTGATATTAAGTAATTTTTTACTCGTATTTTAAGAATAAAATGTCAATGGAAAAACTGAAGATGAGCAAATTTATATGTAATAATCAAAGAAGAATCTACACTTATAAAGTACGAAGAAGTAAGAAATAATAATTGTCAATTATTTGTTCAATAATTTATTTAATTCATAACGGTTAACCTCTACATCTCTTTACTAGAGAAGTGAACTACGTATAACTATAATTTTAAAACTGTTAAATTCTCAGATACTCTTAAGAGTAAAAAAATTGCATCTTAATATTTATAATTGAAATATTACAATAAAAACAACCGTTTCGAAATTATCCCATAATCGAAAAAAATCCAGATCACGTGTCTTGATTGTTTAATTTTAATAATAATGGAAACTTCGTTGTGTCGTCTAGTTTGTATTTTATTGAGTTTTTTGTATATCAGTTGGCGCAATTGATCTTTTTTGAGTGCTAATTTGATTGCCTCTTCTTCGCTTGGTAGGTATTCATAGTCTTCATTTTCTACAAAGCAATTTTTTTGAAGTAGATTATGACATTCATTGCAAATGTTTAAATAGCATTTGCAAAGTTGATGTTTGTCGGTCACAATTATTTCATCTTTTTTTATATTTTGAATTGATAGAGGCGTGGTGTTTAAATTTTGTATGTTACAGAGACTGCAATATTGCTTTGTTCGAGTATTTGTTCGAGTATTTCGTGTTGGAGGCATTTTAGTTTTGACTTAAAATATTTTCTTTGTAGTTTCAGCGGAATCTAGGAGTTATATCGCCTTTTTATACTTTTTTAATATATTCAGTTTTAACATAAGAATTCCAGTTATAGTACAAAAAATTAATCATTCGGACAAAAGCCCTTTTGCAGTAAAGCGCAAAGAATTTTGATACTAAAGAAGACTTATTTTCTTTGTTTCAAGAATTTACTCATGAAGAATGGAAAAATCAATTAATGTTACATTACATCATGAGAAAATGACAGTATACATATCCAATGATTATAAATAGGAGCTCTGTTCGATGCTCACAGAAGAGCAACTAATAAATAATAAATAATAACATGAAAAAGCTCTTTATAATTTTCATCATTTTTTTATTTATTATTGTTTACGTACATCAACCTTTAGTAAAATATGATACATGCAGCTGTAAACGAGATGATCTTTTCATAGAAGAATTGAAAAATTTGTACAAGGAAATAGATCATTTGTCAAGATACAAAATTGAGAAAATTGAAATAGTCAATTCAATATATGATTCATTTTCTATCGAACATAGGGAAGATATCAGAAAGGCTATCATAAATGCAAACATTCGTCTACTTAATAAAAATGAAAATTATTTATTTGAATTAGAGATATATACTCTGGTACCTTACTCATAATAACATATAAATTTTTTAAATTATTACACCAAGCTACTTCTGAAATTTGTTCAGTCCAAAAAAGTCAAAGGGCGAAGAAGAAGATTGTACCAATTTTGCTTCACAATTCTTATTCAAAGGAGATTTTTCTAACTGAGCATGGCACATATGCATGGGTTAATGTAAATGGTTTTTGCAATAATCTTATAAACCTCAAAATAGGTAGAAAATGTGAATTAAAAGATCTGCAACTGATTCCTGCCAAATTAAACCCTCTAACTGCCAAAATCTATAAATTTAGCATAACTTAGATATGTAAAACTTTAAATAATTCTTACCAGGAATTTTTTCTAATAACTCGTGTTATAATTAATATTGTGTAATTATATTTTTAATCTCATATGGTACTTTACGTTTTGATTGATGACACCTCAAATACGTTAACAAAAAGCTAATCTGAAAAAAAACCTATATAAAATAATTTTCGTTATTTTTTTCTCTCAAATTCGTGTTTTAAAATATGCCGCCTAGATATTCTTTAAGATATTCTGTTAGAAGGTTATTTTATTGGAAATATCAATTTCCTGTTTATAATATTGTTAATAATTACTTATCAATTCATGTGATTCATATTAATATAAATTATAATTTAAGACGACGATTAAGAGACAATAACCGTAGAGAAGTGGATGATTTAATTTATACATATCAGATAGAGTTGTCACCAGCCCAAACTAATGAAACAACATATACTTTATTGAATAAGCCAAGGTACTAAAAGCAATGCTAAACAGTATATGAATTTTGACACGGCTGAATGGTTATAATAAAGTCAATTTTATCTTCCTTATTGATTCGATCTCTATTTATACATAACCTCGGTTATTTACAATAAAAAAAAATAATGTCAATTGTAATGCGATCGTTTTTTTTTTGCATGCCTGACAAGGATGGTTTCATCTGACGAACTAGATTTCATCAGGCTTCACCAATTTCGTCAGCCATCATTAATATTCGGTAAGGATTTAATCCGAATCAAATTTATAATTAATTTAATAAAGTTGATAAATTTAACTTAAACGCTATCTTCTTTTATAATAGATGAACTCATAATAAATTTTGGATAACCGATGTATTTTTTTATACTATTATAATATCTATGCAAATATGTTATAATATCTATTATCTATGCAAATAATTATTAACATTAAAGTTAAATACATCTACATGCAAATAGAATTTGCAGCTCGAATTTTACACGCTATTTCAATTATCTTGAATGCATATGGATAATTTGATGGACAAATAAATGGGATAGGATCAATATCGTGTATCGTTCTGATTGTATAAACGACTTTTAAAATTAAATCGAAAATTAGTTTAATCAAATGACTCAAATTTATTTTAAATAAGGACTCACTCACTTGGTAGAATAAACCATGGAAATAATAAGATTATAAAAATAGAACTAGAAGTGTTTCAAATTGAGTATTAATATATATAGCAAAGAAAATTCGGTGAAATTCTGTAATACCATTTTGAGTAAGATACCTGAAGTTTTTCTCTTCATAACAGTAATAACAAAATATCGAATGCAAACTAATTGCTAGAAATTAAAAATTATAAGTTTTAGGCAAAATAAAAAATTTGTAAAACAACATACCAGCTGTTAACAAAGTAAGCGCAATGTATCTAAAAAATTGTGAAGAAAAGTAAATAGGAATTTAAATAATTTTCAATTAAAATTTCTACTTGTTCTTACGCATATTCAATTCCTTGATTATACTTAAGTACACCGCTAGTCTGATCAAAAAGTTTGACTTTTGCCAACGCTATAATAAAAGAATTTAAGTACTGAATTGTCAATAAGTAGATATCCCATTTATTAAATCATTAATTATTACCAAGTGATGGACAAAGAAATGTGAGAATAAAAATTGGAATAAATAGTAATGCCAAACCAATAGTTCTTTTCACCCCTTCGGACATTTTTTAAATTTGACTTTATTTAATTGCCTCCATATCATGCACAAACAAATATAGTTTAATTTTATTATACAAATAAATTTATTTTCATTTACTTAAAACAATGTGGTGAAAAATCTACTCTCTGAATTGTAAATAAATTTACTTTTTCATCAATTGTTAATTTTATCTAATTGAATAATAACAATTTAATTTAGCATTGAATGGGAGGCATTTTCAAATGCACCTTTCTCAATACACAACTTGGTCATAAAAATATTAGGATATGTAACGGTAATTATAAAAAATATAAGCTTATATATAGATAAATACCCTATCATTATTATCTTGAAAGCTTACAAAAATAAATTTTGGCTCACTAAATGAGAATCAGATTTTTCAAAAATTGCAATGTCGTAATTATCTAGATTTATCGTAAAGTACAGCAGATTTAGAGATAAAAAGACTTTTAGATAAATTGAACTTAATCAATCCAGTTCCTAATATAAAAATTTCTTGGTATGCTACCGAAAATAAAAAAATTGCAAATAATTATTATAATATAGTGCTTAAATTTCAAAGAATTATTTTAGAGCTGAACATTACTCCAATGCTTCCAAAGCACATATGAATATCAGTTTGATTCTCCATCCTAAAATAAATGAAATGACAATTTATTAAAAAAATCAAAAATAAACTATTTTATACTTGAATAAAATTAGAACTAAAATAAACAATATAATGGTTTCTAAGGAATTAAAAATAAACTCATTTGTTAACTTATCATCCAACCCAATGTTGCCAAAATTGGTGTAAGACTTGCTACATAGCAAATAAAGAATCACAATTTTTGAGAAAGAATATTAAATCTAAAAGTTTAATAAACTTAACTTACCATAGAATATATATTAATTTCCATATAAGAATGTGCTAAAGCCTATAGAATTTAGCTAACTGTTAAGTAAAATCTATTACAAAAATATATAGTTAGGTCACATTATAAGCTTGAGATATATTTAACTAAATATATAATTTGAGTGAGAAATAATCAGACTTTTTATCGAATGGGGTCAAGTTTGTCTTTTATACATTATTATATCAATTCCTATTCTTGACTTGTATGAATTTGATGTAAATAAATATATATTTAAAGAAAGTATAAATTTATAAAAATAATAAGAATAATTGAATTGTTTTTTTTTTCATTCATTCGTATTAAATTGTTTAAAAAAAATTAAACATTTAACTAAAAATATTAATTTCTTTTTCTTCAAGAAGTTTGA